AAATCGCTTAATAACTATTCCAATATACGCAACGACTGTAGTCCACTTGACCAACAATGATATATATATCCATCATGTATTATGATATACCATACACCATGATATAAGTACCATGATCTAAAGATCCAATCTGGAGATAAAATCTCCGAAAAACTAACTGGCTGTCGCAGTGAGGTATCTTACAAAACTTTGGAAAATGAAAGTAGTATATTTATGATAGACAACAAGTTTAGCTTCATATGCGTTGAGCCAAACTGTAAGCATCAAAGTTATGACCAAGGAAACAAGTACATAACACACAAAACAACGAATTTGAAATATTTTATACATTTTTTTATTTGTTTTTTTTTGTGTATGCAAAGTTAAATTTAAAAATTATCTAATATATTGATTAAATATAGACATATTTGTGTGGTCTGTGAGACATACCTACATACGTGTGGCGCAGTATAAGTTTCCGGAATGATAAGAAAAAAATACTATAAATGGTCAAAAATAAATTTATAGTTTCTCAAAATATTCTCCGTTGGCGTTAATGCACTTTTTCATACGAATGAACCAATTTTGAAAACATTTATGCCACTCCTCCGTGACAATCTCTGAAACATATTTTTCATACTCTTCGACAGCCTCTTCAGGTGATGAAAATCGTTGACCGCGTCACTGGTTCTTAATTTTTGGAAATAAATAACAGTCACAAGATGCCAGGTCGGGACTGTACGCGGGATGGCTTATAAGGTCAACGTTGTTCACCTTCAAATATTCATTTGTCTGTCTGGCCGTGTGAGAACTGGCATTATCGTGATGCAAGATGATACGGCGTTTACGGTTATTTTTACGGGACTTTGTCAATAATTTCCGGCAAACAAATGGTCGTGTACCAATCACAATTTACGGTACAACGATTCTCCAAAGCAACAGTAGCCACGTATCCAGTTTTATAAAAAAAAGAGCAATCATCCGCTTAGATGCACTTTGCACGTGCGCCACTTCGGTGGAATTCGGCTTATCTCGAAACACCTATACACTCGATTGCTTCTTTGTTTTGGGATCGTAACTATAAATCCATATTTCCTCACCTGTTACTATGTCCCACACCAAATTTGACGCCCCTTCGTTGAATCTGGTAAGCAAGGCATTGCACCAAGAGACGTGATCCGTTTTTTTAGCCTCAGTCAAATTGTGTGGGATCCAATGAGAGCACAGCTTATTCACACCCAAATGTTTATGTAGTATTGATTGTATTTGACCCATGCCTATGCCTAAAGATGCCCAAAACTCATGGTATGTCACATCCCTGTCTGTTTTGATCATCCGGCGCACAGCATCGATGTTTTTGTTATTCACAGTAGTGGACGGGCGACCATCACGAAATTCGTCACTGAGATTCACACGACCGCGTTTAAATTCTGCAATTTTCTGTCTTGCATGATGCTTCATCGCCAAAAGCAGCTGAGCTGTTAAATTACACTTAGGGTCGTATTCTAGAACTCTACTCAATGCTCAAGTCAGGATTTGAGCAGAATTGAGTATGATTTCAAGCACTGGAAATACGACCCTAATGGCAAGGACTTGAGTATGATCTTCAGTGCTCACTGCAATACTCAAGTCCTGGCTTGAGTATTGAGTAGAGTTCTGGAATACGACCCTTAAAGTCGTAGAAAATCATACTACGAAAATTTTCACGAGTTAAATCCATGGTGATGTAGACAACCAATATCTAAAATGACGCCACATGTAACAACAAGTGACTGTCAGATGAAACAAACTGTATTCTACAGTCAAAGAGTTCCATTTTCAAATGTTGTAATTACTTTTTAAATATTGTTTATGTAAGTGGTGGCCAGTTCATTTCAATCAAAACTAATGTAGAAAGATATGAGACAGTATTACTAACATCATAAATACAAGTTTTGTTCCATGACTTTTTCAAAACACGATTTTACCAAAATACACTTTAAAGTTTTTGTTAGTTTTTTAAGTTTTTGTTATACTATCTGAGACTTTTTAGGTGTTCAAACATGCAAACATCCTCCCCAACGACTCCCCCTGCGACTTGCATCAGAGTAGTATTTACGACAGCGCTTTCTTTTGTTACCGCAAAGAGGTATCACCTTTTATAGCGACCTATTTTTATTTTTTGTATGAATGTACAATGTACAAGTCATGGAATTAAAGTTGTTGTTGATCATGTCAGTAATTGTAGTAATTGCAATAGCAGTGGAGTTAAAAATACTATCAGTACCAACAAAGATGCAATATTCACCAATATATTAAAGTATATCGACTCATCCGTAGAACAAAGGTGTATGTGTAAGATTACTTGTTCAGGACATAGTACATTTCGTTCGTTCTTCTTCGCCGTGGATGTCAGATCGACCTTTGTTCGATTTTATTTTTCCGAAACGAAGTAAGATATATAAATTCTCAAAATACCTTTACATAGGCCTTAGTTTGAATAACGAAATTGTTCTCGTAACGTACTTATTCTCTTTTGGCTATATAATCATATCGGACTCTGTTCTTCGGATGAGTCGATTTATGTATCATTGGATATCAATCAGTAGCAGTAGAGCTCCGTGTGAAAGAGTTCGTCCAGGGAAGTACTGCCACCTTGCCTGTTTTGGCTACCAAGCAGTAATGTGAGCATTACTTTGTTCGGGTTTAGAAGGGTGAGGGTGCTGGTGAAATTACAGACACATGGGACTTGTCAAATAATGTCTCGGGGTGACGACCCTGAGACATTAGTTTCAGAGGCCAAAAGATCTTTGCGATTTAAAGCTCTGAATGGTACTGCAACTGTTGTGGATAGGCGTGTCGCTTACCACCAGTTGTCCCGTCACTTGGTATTATAAAAAGTTAACTCTGATAAGTTTATAAATAAATGAAAAAAGAGCCCTCAAACTTTATTTATCACGTAAATCACTTATCTATTAGTATTATTGTTCATAAATTATTACGTTATTTATGGTAATATAATCACACTTTTCGTTTTGTGAAAATTTTTGCGATATGTAAGTGCACCTATACGGGTGCCAGCGGTGTCGCCAAACATCAAAGCCGTGGCGCTATATGGAAGATAATGTAACAAATGTGATAGTGCGATGAAATTAGATACAAATCACATCGTTTGATTTATATCATCATTAACAAATTGCTTTTTAAAGTTTGTCATACGTCAAGATTTTTTATAATCTCCATGACCCAGTAAATAACTTCAATGTATTTATTTGCATTCCACAATGGAATATATAGTGTTACATAGTAGAAAGATCACATCATGAACCCTCTCGGGCACAACAAAGTACAAGGAAAGAGAGTAAGTAGGCTGTTTTAAATTTACCATTTTGTTATGAGGGAGCATGCCAAAAAAGTTTTGACGTTGGCTCCGCCCAAATTTGTGAAACAAATATATGCCTGAAGTTCGCGTGACATGCGACAGGAGATGTTGAATTTTGCGCATTAAAAGTACCAAATTCGTTTTAGCGGAATAACTCTAAAACTAAAGGGATTAAAAAAAATCCGTAGTGGCAGTTGTCGTTCATGCATAAATATAATTAATTATCTAATTTTTGTCCTAATAACCTGTAGCATTTCGAGGATAAATCGAAAAAATGTGAAAATTAGAGGTCATTTCGTGATTTTTATCTATCGAGGAAACTTTGTTGTTTTATGATATCGTGTAGTTACTCATAGAATATTTTATTTTTAACTTTAAAGTGAATATACCCCTCTAAAATTAAATCGAAGATTAGGAAATTTTTCCTCTGCTCCCTCTTAAAAGGTTCCGTTTAGGAATTTATTAAATTTATCATAATAACATTTATTTATTAACAAGTCTTTTGGTTTAAAACAGCAGGACGTATGGGTTAGACGAATGTAGAGTGAATTTAGATATAGGAAGCATTAATCTATTTTTGTGACGCATTAAATGTTTTGTTCGAATGTCTTGTCAGCGTTTAAAAAAATTGTGGTTTTACGAACAAAGTTACAAATCTCTGAGATATTGAGAGAAGCGTCTGTAAATTGTGCTTTTGGAAGTGAGGTCGGCAACTGTCTGTTACTTTAAGGTTTCCTATTATTCGGATTCGGAAGTTTTTTTGGCACATAAATAGGCATGGTGCTTCAGTACTATAGACCCACAGCACTAGCATAACCGTGAAAAAAGCATACGTTTATTATGCATAAAGTGCAGTCGTGAAGTTTGTGGAATTGTTAATTTCTCGTAGAGCGTATGTAAATTGAAATATCCTAGTAGCGATTTCTTGTCCGTGTTTTTTCAAATTATGTTTAGTAGCAGTAGATATCCTTGGAAAGAGTTCGTTTAGGGAAATGCAAGCAGTGACCATTTCTGCATTTGGTTTTAGAAAGGTAAAAGTACTGGTGATATTACAGACATATGGGACTTGTTAACTTATGTCTTAGGGAGGCGGGCGCAGAGGCGGTGCCCCTCAAGATCTGACCTGGCACCTTGTGACTTTTATTTATTTCCAAAAATTAAGTCAAAAGTCAACGATTTTCATCACCTGAAGAGGCTGTCGAAGAGTATGAAAAGTATGTTTCAGAGATTGTCACGGAGGAGTGGCATAAATGTTTTCAAAATTGGTTCATTCGTATGAAAAAGTGCATTAACGCTAACGGAGAATATTTTGAGAAAGTATAAATTCATTTCTGACCATTTATAGTATTTTTTTCTTATCATTCCGGAAACTTATAGTGCGCCGCACGTATAATGTACATCATCGAGCATATAACCATATACGTACTAGGTTAAAATATTTTTGTACAATTTTCAACGCACTGAAAAATTGGAATTTAATTTTTGTTCGAAAGAATAAAAAAAAGAGAATAATCTGCTGTCCATTTTGTTTTGCAGAAACATTTTCTTAAAAAAATTCAAGTAATTCTCAATCTTGTTGAGGGATGTACAACAAGGTCGTCCTTTCGCCAAGTTTGCTATTTGTTACTTTGTTTAAAATTTAATATTTTTTATGTTACAGTAAAAACAAGGCACTATCCGTTCCGAGTGTTGGCCACAAACAACAACTTTTACGCTACTATATATACTTGCTCTTATAGTCCCCTGGTCAATAAACATTTCAGTGAGTAATATTTTGTACACCTACTATCATTAAGTCTTATATATTCCACTACTTTCAGTACACCATAGCACTGGAAAACGTACGCTACTTCAATGCGGATCGGTGACCTCACAAGTTTTTCAAGAATATTGTGAACTGTCTTTGACATGCTTGTTTCATTATGATATTTACTTTCATAATTTGAAAAGAATTGGTCCCTGGATATTCTACAAGGGAGGCGCGTTTCCTTACAACTAGACTAACCGTATTTATTTATATATTGTTTGGGAAAGTACCTATTCCACTAGTTTGTTGTTAAAATGATCGAACAAACTTAAAGGAAAATTCGAACTTGAAAATTCAAATTCGAAATAGAAAAACTCGAAACCATCCAATTATTATTCATAGAGCGACTTCTCCTGTCAGTTGTAAGGCCACAAACTGTAGAGCTAGCGCGGCAGGGCGCGACATGCGCGAGAGTAGCGTACTGTAATGGTCGACTCCAGTCGGATTGGGTGAACATGAGACTTGTGGAGCATGTGTTCTGGTTTGACACGATGCTGTGTGTAAAATTTATAATCAAGGAGAAAGAAGGAGGGCGGCTGCCAAAAAATGTGATCTAAATATTTCGAAGAGGAGAAGGAAAGACATTGTGGTACAAGCACCTAAAGTAAATACAACATTTGCAAACAGACAATTCAGCAAACGATCGGCCCATTTGTACAATTTAATTAATAAGGAATTAGAAATATACACCAAAAGTTATAAAGACTGCAAAAAAGTTATATCAAAATAAAATGGCTACAGTCGAAATCGTATGAGGGAACCGAAGATCTATTAGAATACTTGCTTTAAAAACACTGCTTTCCTAATCTATAGCAACAGGTTAACACACACACCCACACATGCACACGCGCACACGCACACGCACACACACACATAAACGCGCGCGCGCGCGCGCACGCACACACTTTTTCTTATACAAATGCACACATAAGTTTTAAGATTCAAATTAAATTTAAAATTAGAAGTTAAGACAGTTGAAAATTGTTAAAAAAAATTGTTTGTTTTGTTGTCACCATGTTTGGAAATGTAAAAATTAAATGCTAAATTAAGTATAAGTTAAAAATGTTAAATATGCATTTATAGCTATGGAAGAGCGGTGCCTCCTGACAACGGCTTGATAAGCTTAATAGGAGGTACCATCCACTGTTAATGTAAAGTTAATTGTATTACTGAAATAAACATTTATTTTATTTATTGCACACAACTAAAACAAGTTTCAAATGGAAATAACCAGATGCTATAAGTAAGTTTAAGTTTTAAGTAATACATTAACAGTAGTTACATTACTAAGTACTATGATTTTAACTTCCCGAGGTTACATTTCGAATTTACAAGATACTTTTAGTTTTTACGAGTACACATATAAATGGTT